ACCACCACCACCACCTCCTCCCCGACCCGACGCGACGCGACGCTAGGTATATCGTCGTAAGATCGCGAAATCTCTCAGTGGCAAAGGTATTTGTCGGACTATATGGTCATATCCAGCCACGTAACAACGCTACTGTCAAGCCGCTTCATTCATCTCTTTCGCTATTATACTATATTCTCTCGCATGTTTGTTTCAGTTGGGCGATACGCCAAATCCCGAGTTGCGCATAATTACCAGTGCATTCAATAAGGTCCTCTACCGCGGTAAGTAAATCCAGCCATAGCTTTTATATTATTTTCTTTCGAATATACTCGTATAACAAGCACAGGGCGGCTAGATTTACTAGGTATTGCATTCAGAACAAGTATTTCTAAGGGTGACACATCGTCACGCTGCGTAAATGCGATCACTCGAGATACCCGGGTATCTCACAATCAGATGTATGACGTGCGCAGAACGCACAGATTCGAAAGAGTTGCCGGGACAAGTATCAGAAATGAAATCACTTCCACCTGCTCTTCGCCACGTGTGCATGAATAAAATGACCATTTTCAAAATATAAAATCTTGGAAATATATGAGCGTCAATATCTTTGCAGCTTCTTCATAGTGAATAGAGTTGAATGCAATTAGTGACGAGTACCTTACGAAGGCGTCAACGGACGAGTTTCAAGAGGAGCAGTCGACGTTAGATGAATATGCGTTTCACGCACCAGAAATCTCGCGCTGCTTGAGCTCATGAGCAAGTGGAAACGGCGCTAGATAATAAATAAAATGCCGAGTGAAAAATAGGGGGCAGTACTCGCGTCAGTTGGTCGGTTGGTCGGTTGGTTGGATATCTGGGCCTCGGTCCTCTTGTGCGCTTTCAAGGAAACGATACGTCGTTATGCATTTCTTACATCCGATATTTTCACATCCTCGTGTTTCAATATTTCAAGCAATCAGTGTCGTGATAGGAAAACGTGTAGAAAAATGTGGATTAGGAGGGACGACGAGGGAAAAGTTGCAGGGCCAGTAAAGTATGCGAATACTACATGCTCGTGTGTATATGCAATTTAATCAATAGCCTGGTGACAACGTGTGAGGGTGGTGATCGTAGTAGTAGGTAGTAGTAGGTAGTAGTAGGTAGTAGTAGGTAGTAGTAGGTAGTAGTACTGTTGGTTACGATGGTGCTCGTAATGTCGACAGCGATCAACGTTCATAAATCATAAGACAATGGAAATTGGTGTGTGGAATTTAAGTGTCTCTTTGTTGGCCGCAGGCAGAGTGGGCAGACGCGCCTTTCTTGCTCTAGTTCTCATGAGGTACGAGGATTCTCACGCGCATTGCACACACACGCACGCACGCAGCCACCCAAAATTCTCTCTCTCTCTCTCTCTCTCTCTCTCTTGCACTTAGATATGCGGTATAAGGACTTGACAACCTTTTTCCTCTATCCTGACCTCTGTACTATATGCATATCACTATGCATTTGGGACGATGGCAGAGTAGTACCTATCGTTCGGGCAATTTCCTCTTTCAAACGTGCGTCTGATTCAGAATGATGCTGCACGCAAATGCCTAATCGCGCAGTTCGCCACCTATAGGTTATTATACCTATATTCGACTTTGTATGGATGTCTCCTCGATTTCTTCAATTGTTTCTAATGCAGCTTCGTTCGAGCTGTCTCTCGAAAAGGCGACGTATGTTTTTATCTATATTTGTGCACGCATATTACTCGTATTCGGTCTCACCTACGACTAGATAATGGTTGAAATATTTGCGAGGCATGCGTGGTATTAAACCGACACCCTGATATTGTATTTTATTGGACTGCGAGATACCAGAATCCCAGAGCAATGCGAGATATTTCAAAATGCCCTCCCGTCAGGGGCATCTCTCTCTATGAGAAATCTCAGGAGCGCAGAGGGATTTCGATGACGTTACACGACACTACACGACACGACACGACAAGGCATCGTGCGCGACTACAGCAGACGAAGCGGCGACATTCTTCCTTTTCTACTCTCCGTCGAGTTCAATGTCCTTTCATCTTTCTCTCCCTTCTCTCCCTTCTCTCCCTTCTCTCCCTTCTCTCACCCACTTCCCTCCTTTCGAAGGAGTTAATGCATTTCATTAATCACGCCTAGGTCTTTCGCTTGGCATCCTCTTGACATTCGCGTCTTTAACGTTGCCAATGGAGCGGCTTGATATTTTTTTGCCGCTGAGCTCTTCTTATTATTTGTCATTTCTGACAAACGCTCGCAATCCCTCTTCTGGCCGTTCGAGGTTGTCCCTCTTGTCCCTCTTGTCCCTCTTGTCCCTCTTGTCCCTCTTATCCCTCACATCCATTGTGTATGTAGATTCGTTTCGCACTCTCGCCAAAGAGAAACAGAATGCAGATACAATATAATAAATGAGACTGAGGCGCGTACAGCTGGAGGCGTGTCTATCCGTTATCGTCTTATTGTAAGAAATAACTATGTGGCGTCCATGAGCGCGTAAGTTTGCAAATGTTAAAGGCGATTCTATAATACGATTATGTAGTCTAGGAAAAAGTACGCGCGACATGTGCAGATCCAGTGGTGTATAGGGGTGGTCGGGTGACGACGCCCACTCACTCACTCACTCACTGCTCTTAGCGCAGTGAATGGCAACCCGAGAGAATCTTCCTACGTCATGGCTTGCCAGGGATTGCTTCCCTTTTACATTAGCAGGCGGCCATCGCGTTCTTCGTGTCACCGACACAATACACGAGATACAGACAGCACGCATTCGTTTACGGATTGCGGCTGTTGAGCGTCTCTTGGTAGCCCGTTAGCGCAATGATGTAGGCATAGACGGATATGCTTCCCGGACGAACTCAACGATTTAGGAAAGATCCGCGGAAAAGTAATAAGACTCGCATAGTTCGTGCTGGGGGACGTGGTGCTATGAGACAGACAAATATACAGAGCGGCAAGAAGATTGGCTGCGACTCGCATCGAGCCTACCGAAAGAACCTCGAGAGTGGTCGGAAAAACAAGTTCTGAAAAATTGCCGAGACCTCAGCGAAGACGCACCTGAATAATGGTCTTTCCATTCTCCATTCGTTGCGCGGCGAATACCCCTCGAGTTTTAGGAAGAAATGAGACGACGCCCGAATATTTTTCAGGAAAAGGTCTTGTCTCGAAAAGAAAAGTGCGAGCGCTGCTGGGTAGATGGGTTGGCGCTACAGGAAAAGAGATCACGTCGACGCCGACGCCGACGCCGACGCCGACGTCGCAGGCGCAGGCAGCCAGGTCATAGGCAAGATCGCACTTGATCAAACGAAATCGACTCGTTACGATCAAACTGCGCTACTTACATCACCTATTTTTTCTTAATTTCGTCTCTGCAGATCCACTCGATAAATCAATTGTAAAAAAAAAAGAAAAAAAAAAAAGGGGGAACAACCTAATCATGTTGTGTCATATCATGTATACGCTTCTTGACGTTTCTGCAATATAGGGGACAAAGCCCAGGTACGCCATTTATCCTTGCAAGCGCTTCTCCCGGACACCAACGGCTACATGACCTACGAGGGCAGCACCACGTATCCAGGATGTTGGGAAACGGCTGTGTGGCTAATTCTGAACAAGCCCATCTACATCACCGCCCAGGAGGTAACACACTTTCTCCCTTTACTATTCCCACGTTTTCCACATTTTCATTCTATCCTCCGTTTCATTCGCATTCGTAGACAGAGCTCCCCCCCCCTCCCTTTCCATGCGTCCACGCATTACTGCAGCCACCCATACGTGTTACTCTCGTTCACTGTGTGTATACCTGTTTTTGGTGCATCCAGCTCTATGTCTTGAGGAGAGTTATGCAAGGACCCGACGGAACCCCCAAGGCTCCCCTGGCCAATAACGCGCGGCCTTTGCAGGGTCTTCATCACAGAACGATACGCACCAACATCGATTTTCGCAAGGTATTTCAAAGAAAAGAAAGTCGAGCGGTAACGCATTTCTATTATTTTTCTTCCTTTTCTGCGCTTTCCTTTTCTTCCACGGCAACACTCGCAATAAGATATTTCAATGGAACATAACGGGTTTTATGTGTTTGTTCTCCTTCGAATAGCGGCCGGACGCCAAGTGTCCCTCGATGGCGCAGGACATGCGGTACAGAGGTAACCCAGGACTAGATCCAACGTCGTTCGACTCCTAAACCCGACGCTACGATACGGAGGAAGGCTCTCGATGAGAATTTCAAAAGATGACTTTTTCTTTCCAGCCAATACGTGGCGGGACGACGGATCCCTCTCGCACAATGTCGTGTGAATCTCATCGGTGCATCCAGTAACCCACAGTTTGTCTGCCCACTTGCCGATTCATCAAGTGAACTGTTAACCAGCCAATCAGCCAAGCGGCGGACCAACCAACCAGCTGAGAGCAACTTACGACTATGAGACGACTACGAGACTGACGGAGGAATTGCAGAGCAACTGCATCTAGACCGGGGGAGGTGGCGGTGCGTCAGGAATCGTAACCAAGGTCGATTCCTCGACCTCGACTTACTCGTGGACGAAAGCCTCGCACGTGGCGCCATCTAAGAAGATGGAAGCCCTCGAATGGAAGTGTCACTGCCAGGAGAATTTCGGAAAGTCTCTCGCGAATCCACCTCTTGGACGGAGTCATGTAATTCGGGAAATCAACGCCGCCTAGTTGCAGCCACCAACGGGAACAATCCTTCGTCCTTCCTCGTTTCCCTTTTTTCCCTTTTTCTTTCGTCACCACCTTGTGCTCATCCTCTTTATCCCGTTGCTACTCTTCCTACCCTCCCTACCCTTCACATTCGTATCCTTGGGTCGCTCATACGATCGCTATCGCCAGAAGCGTTGTAATCATTACTGATTCCACTGCTGCCGACATCTTTAGCACTGTTGCTCTCGTCACTCTTTATTCTTTCAAAGAGACCTTTGCTTTTAAAGTTTTGCCTCTGTGACTGTTATCGAACTGAAGAAAACTAGTGGAACGAAAAATCTCGAGGAGGGTCAGAATGATAAAAAACAGAAGAACAAGCGAAAGCAGAGTCGGGATTGGTTGAACGAGGACAAGGACTAGATGCAGCGGTTATAAATACAATAATAAATTAAGATCAATAATCGAGAGAGCTTTACATGTTTCGATATGATGCGTTTTCGTCGATTATACAAAGTTCCGGTATACATATGCTACATACATACATAGTATACATATAGGCGGAGAGTCCAAATCTGATTCAGTCAGTGCGCTGTATTTGTAATATTCCAAGAGAGCATAGAAGAGCTATCGTACGGTTGTCAAGGGTTTGTAATTTGCTCGGATTTTCAGCTTGTTTCCGTTAGCTACTGGCGCGCGTCCTTGACGATCTAACTGCGACAATGAGATAACCCATAGTAGCATAAATAAAGCGTTAATTGATGTTAGACTTGTAATGGCGCCTACAGCCAGATCAGCCGACGGCGCGCAGGAAATGTTGACGTGATGATAGATTTCAGGTGGGGATTCGTCTAAAAGCATTGACACTTTTTTGTCAATTATTTTGTAGCCGAACGTTGTATTTATACATAATACATATAGTATACTACACGCAGATACGCAGATACGCAGTAACGCAGTAACGCAGTAACGCAGTAACGCAGTAACGCACACACAATACACGAATGCGCGCGCGCACGCGCACGCGCACGCACGACCACCCATCCACGTACATTGTGAGCATTGTTTATGTGATATGTATACACTCAATACGCATATTACAATGAATGACACGTGCATCCCCATACTTATAGGTATGTTTATAACGGACAGGTGGAAATGGCAAAAGTATAAAGATTCGAGCACATAACTCGGTCGGGGAAGAACCCGTCGAAAACAATCAACTCCCTTTTTCCAACTTATACCGGGCGATCGAAAGTTGAGCGTTAAGCAATTGTTTAACTCGTTCTCGATATGTAACCGAGGAACTTTGTGTATATATATATCTCTAGAAACATACAAAAAATGTATAGGGTGAGGTGAAAGGAGGTGATTTAAGTTGAGTGAATGAGTTATTAAGTGAGTGAATAAATGAATGGGAATCAGTGCAGCCAGTGCAACCCACTTGATTCGAGTCTACCGATGTGTACACACACACGCACGCACGCACGCACGCACGCGCGCGCGCGTGCAAGTATAGAAAAAAATGTATAGAAAGAAGTAAATTGTATAATATGAGATGACTAATGGAAATTGTAATAATTGTGGTTGACGAATAATGGTAACGATAACGATATTGATAATGATAACAATAAACATACAACTATATTGTACGATGTATAATTTGTTCACCGGCGATACGGTATACTTAGTATGATTTCATTGCGCCTTCCGAGATTCGTTCACTTTAGGATACACAAGTATTTCCAAGCTACGTTGTAGTACTTGAAGGTAAGTCTGTCAAATGTATTCATATTCATTTATTCATGGTGACTAATTAAACGAAGAAACCCATGTCCCTCGTCATTCGATCAGTGTTAATGGTGCATTAATTTATATTACTTTATTTCTTTCTTTTTTTATAACTTTGGTCGATAACAAAATTGGTCAAAATAGTTGTCCTCGAGATTGCGCGTTGGAGGGAAGTGATGGGTGATATCCCGGACTTCTTCTTATAATAAGCACTAAAGCTTTTTTTTTTTTTATAAACATCGTAACCGTAAAAGACATAATGAAAAGCTTGCAGGTGGCAAGCTGTAAATTTTACGGGCATACGGGCATACGCTCCCGTGTACCTATACAGGGGTTTATGCGCATACATATATTCCCACGAAGCTCGCGCGTATGGCCGTGCCGGAGAGTCTTCACCAGAAGGGAACTTGGCTGAACTTGCCAGAGGTACTACTTCTCGGCAAGGAAGTGGAAGAAGCGGTCGGGCGAGAGCGGCGGTAGCTCACCGAGCTACTGGTGGCTGTAAGAATAGCAGCAGCAGCGGAGTAGCGACCGAGTCGTGGTTGGAGTTCAGAGATATGCTTACGAAGCTTAAAGCTCGGAGCTTAACACGCTCGCGAGGAGATATAGGCCGGGAAAGAAGAAGGAGCTAAGGCCAACAGAGGAAAAGAGAAGAGGAGAATAAGGGTAGAGCGTATGAAAGGGGCCAATGAGGCCAAAAAGGGATCAAGTAGTTGAACAGGGTAGAGAGAAGATGCAAAGTCACAGCCGCGACTTCGTGGCGTCGACAAGTCTTCCGGTGAAGAGTCCGTTCTTACAATCGGCTATGGAAACGAAGGATCAATCGTTTTTTGGACTTCTTCGCTTCGGTCAGCCGGGCAAGATGGAAGGCTAAAGGGGGGCGCAGTTGCGAGCATTAGGACGATCCGAGTGGTATGCAGTTGCGGGTATTGACGTGGGTCTCTGAGGTGGATGCCAAAGCATATGAATCATGAGGTAAAATTTAATTTTTTCTTAGGGACCAACTTACAGCTCTTTCGACCAACATTAAAGCTTATCGTTCGGGATTTATCGAGCTGTGGAAATAGATGTCCTCTCTCTATCCAGAGCCGCTCATGGCTCCGCAACGCGTTAAGGAATTATGGATACCATTATACGGGAAAGATTAGAGGACCACATAATATTTTTATTAGATTACACTCGCGGAACCGGTAGCCAAAGCTAGTCATCCTGTTACGAGTTGCGATAGACAAGAGGGGCGAGGAGGGGGGGGAGGAGGGGCGAGGAGGGGAACACATACCCGTATCTTTTAACGGGTGCCAACCGGCGGGGCGGCGATCTGTCGCATCAATACTACGTGCAGCCGTGCGCGCTGAATACGAGAATAAGAATAAGAGCTTTCCAAACGTAGGAATAGTAGAGTCATTTTTTTTTCCTAGAAAATCATTCATTGCTCATAACATTTGCGTATTACACTTTAACCAAAGAATTCTCCGTATCCATTCGCAGAATCCATCGTTGCATTACGGACTAGCTGGATAGACGTATGATTCTCTGCGATACCCCATACATCGATGGGATAAAGCACGGCTGTGCTTAAAATCAACGGCAGTATGCGCAGCGGATTGGGCCTCTCGTGGAAGAAGGCGAGAGAGCGTCTCGGCAAGAGAGGCGCATGCGAGCGGGAAGCAAGCGGAAAGAAATAAATAAATCAAGATTTAAGGAGGAGGAAAATCCTGGAGACTCGGTCCCAGCACGAGGGGGGAATCAACAAAGCGAGCCAGGCATGATTTTTTTATATTCCCTTGCCAAAATATTGGGATTCCAAATCGTTTTCATTGATGGCCGACTCCTTAGTAGGGAGGGAATCGGCTTAGCACCGACAATAACAGGAAAGATATTCCGAGGATCCCGTAAGGCAACGCCCCGACTCTCCGCGCCCCGGATGCCTGATTTAGCATACGTACCATTTCAATTGAAGATCTTTTATTTGTCGGTCAAGTCGAAAATTCTATTGTCCCGCTGACGATCGGAGTTTATAAGAAAAATGTTTATTATAAACTTGGAATTTGAACCTACATATTTGCTCGTGACAATTTTTCGGTTGCAAGCCTTCTATGGTCATTGACGCACGGTGGCAGACGTACGGGGCCGCCATTTGTATTTATTGGACTTTCATGCAATCGAGAGAGTAGAGTAGAATAGAGTAACAATGTATTTGATCCTGGAGAGGCTCCTGAGGACCATGGGCAAATACTAACAACTGGCGTGTCAGTAAAGTACAAAAATACTTAGTTCAGCCAGAATTACATTTTTTTTCTTTACACATTTCAGTAAAACGCTTACGTTAAACCTAGTTTAGCATTCAAGTTATATTGTAAATAGTCTGCAAATCTTTAACAATTACGTACTAAATAAAATCAAAGTTTTTACACGAGTTAGATTGGAGGTACTGATTTAATTTTGACTAGATTATAGAGGTCATTCATCAAGAGGGATCCGTTCTTCGTTCCTTCACCGGAAAGTATATAAAACACAGATACCGAAAATCGGCTAGGGTTGTAGCCATAATAACGTCCGAAGGTAAATGAGTTCAAGAAACAAATTGTTAAAACGAAAAAAGACTTCCGGAACGTCTCTGTACGGAGTGAGGGAGAGTATAGCGTGTCCGTCCGCGAAAGATTTTCCCGTCGCACTATATCAGACCTTAGACGCAGCTGGTCTGTAAATAGTCCTGCATATCAGTCGTCTATGGGGGTATACATAATGTCCTGTAAAATAGGCACCCGACAAACTAGCATCGTTGATGCCGCGTATTGAGTCAGCCGAGTCTTGTCCCATGTTGCGACATATGTGCAGATCGTGATAGTCTCAGCAAGGAACGAGCTAATTATTTAGTGCAATCAATAATTTTTTCTGCAGCTCTTTCGTTAAGTCAGTAACGAAAAATTGGAAATACTAAGTCGGTTACAAGACGTCGCTTTAGAGCTAGATCTAAGTATTTTGCAATCATGTGTAAGAGGGGGGCGGGGGT